ACTGTATGCTAAACTGACTAAATGTGAATTTTGGCTTGACAATGTTATGTTTTTGGGGCATGTGATCAGTAAGGATGGAATTTCAGTTGATCCGCAGAAAATTAAAGCAGTAGTGAGTTGGCCTAGACCGACAAATGTTACCGAAGTCTGAAGTTTTCTAGGCTTAGCCGGGTATTACAGAAGGTTTGTCAAAGATTTCTCCAAAATTGCCCTACCACTGACACAGCTAACTCAGAAGGGGATATCATTTGACTGGACCGTCCAGAGGGAATCAGCTTTTCAAGAGTTGAAAACTCGACTAGTGACTGCGCCGATTCTCACCTTACCCTCAGGTACGGATGGTTATACTGTATATAGTGATTCTTCTTATAAGGGTTTGGGATGTGTTTTAATACAGAATGGTAAAGTTATTGCGTATGCTTTCCGACAACTGAGACCGTATGAAAAGAACTACCTGACCCATGATTTGGAACTTGCTGCAGTGGTGTTTGCACTGAAAATTTGGCGTCACTACCTTTATGGGGCGACATGTGAAGTATATACAGATCACAAGAGTTTGAAATACTTCTTCACACAGAAGGAACTGAACATGAGGCAGGGGAGATGGTTAGAACTGATAAAAGATTATGACCTGCAAATTTTGTACCATCCAGGAAAAGCTAACACTGTTGCTGATGCATTGAGTCGGAAATCGATTGGAAATTTGGCCTGTTTACTCACCGGACAGAAAGAATTGCTATGTGACCTTGAAAGACTTGAAATTGAGATTATTTTGCGTGAACAATGTGGAACAATAGCCGCTATTTTTACTCAACCGGCACTAATTGAAGAGATTAAAGAGAAACAGCAACAGGATGGCTTCTTGAGGAAGATCATCGAAGAACGAGAATCCAAACCGAGGATGGATTTCAAATTTGAGAATAATGTGTTGAAATTTCAGGGAAGATTGTGTGTACCAAATGATTTTGGAGTGAAAAGAAGAATTCTGCAAGAGGGCCACAATTTGAAATTGTCTATTCATCCAGGAAATACAAAAATGTACCAAGATTTGAAACTGAATTGCTGGTGGCCGGGAATGAAGAAAGAGATTGCTGATTTTGTGTCGAAATGTCTTCATTGCCAACAAGTTAAAGCCGAACATCAACGACCCGCAAGTTTACTACAACCTTTACTGATACCAGAGTGGAAATGGGAACATATCACTATGGATTTCATTGTTGGTTTGCCTCGCTCCAGTAAAGGTATGGATTCAATTTGGGTTATTGGTGATAGATTGACTAAATCTGCTCATTTCTTACCTGTCAAAACAATTTATAATGCGGACAAATTGGCTATACTCTACATTGATGAGATTGTTAGATTGCCTGGAGTGCCTGTGTCCATTGTTTCTGATAGGAACTCGAAATTTACATCGAGATTCTGGCAAAGCTTACAGATAGCATTGGGTACTGTACTGAGACTGAGTAGTGCATACCATCCTCAGGCAAATGGTCAGTCAGAAAGAACCATCCAGACTCAGGAGGATTTACTGAGAATGTGTGTTCTTGACTTCCAGGGAAATTGGGAAAGTCATCTACCGTTGACTGAATTCGCCTACAACAACAGTTTTCATTCAAGTATTGGTATGGCACCTTTCGAGGCTTTATATGGCAGGAAATGTCGATCTCCTATCTGCTGGCAAGAAGTTGGAGATGGGCCTTTCCTTAGGCCCGAAATTGTACAGGAAACTACTGAAAAAGTGAAACTGATTCAACAGAGATTGAAAACCGCACAAAGCCGACAGAAAAGTTATGCGGATGTCCGAAGGCGAGACAGAGAGTATGAAGTAGGTGATCATATTTTTTGTGAAAGTGACATCGATGAAGGGCCAGACTCGTTTTGGAGTCAAGGGTAAGCTAGCTCTGAGATATGTCGGATCGTATGAGATTATTGAAAAGATTAATCCGGTGACGTATCAAGTAGCGTTTCCTCCTGAAATGGAGCATATACATAACGTGTTTCATATTTCAATGTTGAGGGAATACCTTCGGGATCCCTTTTATGTGATTGAGCTTACCCGTGTAGTGCTAAGTGATGACTACACTTATGAAGAACAGCCCATACAGATTGTAAACAAACGGATCAAGAAGTTGAAGAACAAGGAGAGTCCGCTAGTGAGAGTTGATTGGCAAAACCATGGTGGCGTGTATGCCACTTGGGAGAGGGAAGATGATATGATGAAGAGATATCCTGAATTGTTCCCACAGAATCCTGTTTTCTTCCAAAATGAAGGTAATTCGAGTTTGGAGGACTAAACTCTTTATAAGGAGGGGAGACTGTGACAACCCTCACTACTGTTTACTGATAACACCACTGATTACTGCTAAACTTAGATTGATCATGATAAGTAATTGAATTGATTGAAATTCTGAGTTAATTGATTGAGTGTGTTAGTTTAAATGCATTTCTATCTGTCTGTCATTGAATTATCTGTTCGTGTTTTAAGTTTCGAACTGTAAATTGAAGGCCTTATCAGCGGCCAAATCCGAAATTGATTAATGTTTTATGTTAATTGGAATTTATGTGATTTTATGGTATTTTTAATTGAAATGTGATTTGGTATGATTAAATTGGATTAAATAGTGTTAAATCACATAAGTTAGACTTATTTACCTTAGTGCCATTTTTCGAACTGTAAATTGAAGGCCTTATCAGCGGCCAAATCCGAAATTGATTAATGTTTTATGTTAATTGGAATTTATGTGATTTTATGGTATTTTTAATTGAAATGTGATTTGGTATGATTAAATTGGATTAAATAGTGTTAAAATCACATAAGTTAGACTATTTACCTTAGTGCCATTTAGTGGATTTTGCTAAACAATGTTTAGTCTTGCTTTACATGTGTTAGCCGCACTTGTTATCATCCTTCTTGAGAGACCAAACGTGAGAAAGAGCTAGAGAGTTGGAGAAGAGCTTGAGCTCTTCATTTTTGCTTGGAGACTTGGAGATTTTGAAGTGGGATTGCATATTTGAGCTTCCGTTCTTGTAATTGAGGAACCTAGGTAAGGATTTCATCCTTTTAATTGTGAAACCAAGTTGGTTCTTGCATGATTCATGGTAAATAAGAGCCTAAGGTCATAAATTGGTTTAAGATTGTTGAATTGAAGCTTATTTCATGCATACATGTGCATCTCTTGAAGTTTAGAGTTGTTTTCCATGGGAATTATTGCATGCATGTCCATATTTGGGTTATAATCCATGAATTCATCATGTTTGGGAGTGAATTAACTCATTTGATTGTGCTTTGGAAGCTTTGAAGTAGATTAAATTCATGCATGTTGCATGTTCATCATGTTCTTGATGTTTTATTTTAAATGGTGTTTAATTGACTCACCCTTGGGCTTTGATTTCTCAAATTGATTTTTGAAACATGTTATATTATGGGTTTAAAGTGTTTTTCCAGAAAATGGGCCCAAGAGGTTGAGTTTTGATGCATTAAAGTTGAGTTTTGAGCTTGAGGTTCAAATCTGGAAATTTCAGATTTTGGACCCACGCTCGAGCGAGGAACTCCACGCTCGAGCGTACACTCTGACTACATGAAGTCCGCTCGAGCGTAAAAAGTGACGCTTGAGCATGAAATTCGTGTATCCAGTACTTTGCATGTGTTTACAGTCCCCTCGAGCGAGAGAGTTCACGCTCGAGCGAGGACTTGTGTCTCACGCTCAACCGTGGATCGAACGCTCGTCGAGCGTGATTTTTGTGCATCCAGTACTTTTTCTGTAGCTTACAGTCCGCTCGAGCGACGGAAGTCACGCTCGAGCGGAGCTCCTTTGTCTGCATGTCCGCTCGAGCGTAGAAAGCCACGCTCGAGCGAGACCCCTGTTTTCTGAAAAATTCTGAAAAGTGTTTTAAAGTGCATTTTTGCATCCTCATTCCATCCTGGGCATTCTTAGGCCTAGTTTAAGACATCTTAATGAGGATATTGATGTAGAACCACACCGAGACAAATTAGGGATTAAGTTATTACTTTCCAACTGTGTAGCTTAGTGTGTGTTCATTCTGTAACTGTGTAGGGTTGGCATCTGAGGACGCTCTAGCTGCTTATAGCCCAGTGCTCTGTGAGTAACAATGTTGTAAAGATATGTTCAATTGAGATTATTTTCTAAACAAATGACTGTACTGCTTTATGAAATAACATTGTTTGCTGAATGAATGTTTGTCCTATTTGTGAACTGTATTCGTGACATCCATAGCAATTTACTGTTACTGAACTATTACTGCTACTGTCACAGAGATCTCTATCGATTCCCGTGTTTGGAACCACCACTGTTTACTGATATGATGGCCATCATTGACTGCTCGGTTTGTTAAGACCTACTGTACTGTTTTGCTATTGGATATACCACATATGGCTATTATAGTTTCTGAATGACTGTTATGGCATGAATTATGAGCCACAAACTGAATGACTGATATACTGATAAATGACTGTTTTCAATACTGTAAGGGCATTCATTCTTAACCTCTTTACGCATATGTTATTCACTGGGTCTTAACTTACTGTTTATATATATATGTAGGTGTTCAGGCACCGGACCGAAGTTAGGAGCGTCGGTTTAACTTTCTTTTTGTCAAGCCAACCAACGTGCCTCACTGCGAGGTTCCAAGTGCTGCCAAGCTAAGGCTGCTTCGGGGTGTTTTAGATTCTCCCTTTCTGTATTTGTTTGTATCAACTGTATAGACTGTTACTGTACTGTTATGGTAGGGACTTGGTCCCTAACCTGCATGATTGTATATGAATGTATATGTACTGTTTATGTGAATATGTATGAAAAATCTTTTTGCATACAGATTGTCACAGCTCATTGGACATTTTTTAATTACTGTTTTGGCTCCCACCAGCCCCTGTACTCTGTATTACTGTTTTACTATTAAGTAAGCCTTCGGTACTCTCGGATTACTAGCCGGTTACGTACTAAACCCATAGGGGCGGGTTTGGGTCGTGACATATTGCCAAATTATGGTAGCAGTTCATAGAAAGCCACCTCTAATGGTAGGTCTTGGCAGCTGTTATCTCTGGCAAATGTCAAAGTTTTTGTCAAATATGGCACAACCTTAGCAGCTGCCAAAGCTACCAAGTCAGCTTCAACCAACCGTTTCCTCCCTCCCTCTTTTCCTTTCTCATCATCCAACATAAACACAGAAGTAAAATTCAGCTAAAAATCACCAAAAAAATAAAAACAGAAGCAAAAATTCATAAGCAAACACAAATTGAGAAATTTCAAGCAATTTCAATTTCAAGCAAAATTTCAGCAAAATTTCAATTTCAGTAATTTCAAGAAAAAAAAACTAAATTGAACAACTATTTTAGAATAAAAAAAATACCTGACAGAGAGGGTTGATCTTCTTCGTGTTCTTTGGATGGTCTTCAACAAGGTTTCAGGTTTGGATCATCACTGATAAAGAGGGATCATTGGAGAAGAGGTCTTCATTAGGGTGTTGGGTTTGGATTATCACTGACAGAGAGGGATCATCGGAGAAGAGGGTTAGAACAGAGTGAGAGATAGACCGAAAAGGAAAAGAGAGGATTATTTTCGTTAAGGTTAGGGTTTCGATTGTTGGAGATCGATGGTTTAGAACAGAGGGAGAGAGAGAGAGATAGAAGAGGAAGAATGTGAGAGATAAGGGGTTGTGGTGGAGAAGAAGGTTGGACAAGAGACAATGATCCGAATGGTTTGAGGGTTAGAGATCGGCGGTGGATGTGGTGGTGGTTCTATTGGTTATGGTGGTGATGGTTCCTTTCACTGTGCTAGTGGTTGTGGTGATAAAGAAGAAAAGAGATCGAGGGAGAAGAGGGTTGGAGAAGAGAGAAGGGAGGTTGAGGTTTGAGTGTTAGAGATCGACGGTGGGTATGGTGGTGGTTTCGTTGGTTATGATAATGGTGGTTGTTGTGGTTGTGGTGGTAGTTATTGTGATGAAGAAGACGTGACACAGAGGGAGAGAGCAAGGAAGAATGCAATTGGTGAGGATAAGGGAGAAAGATAAAGACTGGTTCGTCGGAGAGCCATTGGAGAGATAAAAGAGACAGAGTGGTTGGTAGAGAGAGAAAGAGTAGAGTTGGGAGTAACTTTTAGCATCAACAGAGAAATGATAAGAGAGATAGAGAGAGAGACAGAAGCAACAATCTGAACCGTTAGATTGTTTAATCCAACGATGCTCTTTTGTCATTGGAATACACAAATTGAGCAACGACTCTTTTTTTCCTCTAATTGAGAAATGTTCGAAACAACTAGTTTGTAACTGTCACGACCCAAACCCGCCCCTATGGGTTTAGCACCGTAACCGGCTAGTAATCCGAGATTACCAAAGGCCTGCTTAACAGTAATACAGTAATACAGAGTACAGGGGCTGGCGGAAGCCAAAACAGTAATTAAAAGATATCCAATGAGCTGTGACAGTCTGTATGCAAAAAGACTTTTCATATATATATATATATATAATCAGTACCAAAAGAGTATGTACAATATATACAATCATTCAGGACAGGGACTTGATCCCTATTAAAACAGTACAGTACAAAAACATTCAGTCTATACAGATCAGAAACAAAAAGGGAAAAACTAAAAGACCCCAAATAGCCTCAGCTTGAACAGTTCTGGAGCCTTAAAGTGAGGCACAAAGGTTGGCTTGACAAAACTGGAGTTTATCCCGACGCTCCTAGCAACGGTCCGGTGCCTGTACACCTACATATATATATGAGTAGTGAGCTAAAGCCCAGTGAATAACATATGCGTAAAGAGGTTAAGAATGAATGTCCTTTCATTATTGAAAACAGTTATTTAAACAGTATATCAGTCATTCAGTTTGTGGCTCATAATTCATGCCATAACAGTCATTCAGAAGCTATAATAGTCATATGTGGTACATTCAATAGCAAAGTAGTACAGTAGGTCTTAACAGACCGAGCAGTCAATGATGGCCATCAGTAATGGTTCCAAACATGGAAACCGACAGAGATCTCTGTAACAGTAGCAGTAACAGTATATTGCTATGGATGCCACGAATACAGTTCACAAATAGGACAAACATTCATTCAGTAAACAGTGTCATTTCATAAAGCAGTACAGTCATTTGTTCAGAAAATAATCTCAATTGAACATATCTTTACAACATTGTTACACACAGAGTTCTGGGCTACAGATAAGCTAGTACGCCTCCTCGGATGCCATCCCTACACAGTTACAGAGTGAACACACACTAAGCTACACGGTTAGGTAATTATAACTTAATCCCTATCTTGACTCGGTGTGGTTCTACATCAATATCCTCATTAAGATGCCTTGAACTAGGCCTAAGAATGACTAGGATGAAATGAGGATGCAAAGATACCCTTTTAAAACACTTAACAAATTTTCAAAAAACAGGGGTCCCGCTCGAGCGTGGGTTTACCCGCTCGAGCATACAGGCAAACAAAATACTCCGCTCGAGCGCGAGTTACCCCGCTCGAGCGGACTGTAAAACATGCCAAAAGTACTGGATGTGTGAAAATCACGCTCGATTGGGCGCTCGATACCCGCTCAAGCGTGTGACACAAGTCCTCGCTCAAGCGTCCAATACCCCGCTCGAGCAGACTGTAAAACAGTGTAAAGTGTTGGATGCACGAATTTCATGCTCGAGCGCTAGTCACTCCGCTCGAGCATGAGTCCAAAATCTGGAATTTCCAGATTTGAACCTCAAGCTCAAAAACAAGTTTTAAAACACCAAATTCGATCATCTTAGGCCAATTTTCTGGAAAACACTTGTAAATTCATAATATAACATGATTCAAAGCTCAATTTGTAAAATCAAAGTCCAAAGGTAGTTCAATTAAACACAATTTCAAACCAACCTCATGAACATGATGTAAAACATAACATGCCTGGATTTAATCAACCCCTATACTTTTATTACAAGAACAAATGAGTCAATCATTTCAAAATCATGAGGAATTCATGAACTAGAACTATAATATGAACATGCATGTGGAATTCCATGGACAAAAATCCTCAAAACTCAAGAATGGCAACATGCATGCATGAATTCCTACTCAATTCAACATATTAAGCTAATTTTGACTCCAATTTTCAATATAACAAGAATCAAGCAAGAACTAACTTAAGGACAAGTTTAAGAAGGTGGATTCTCTACCTTAGACTTTGAATATCAAGTGTAGGAAGCTCAACTATGAAATCAACCTTCAATTTCTTTAACTCACCAAGCAATTCACAAGATGGAACTCAATTTCTCTCACTCTCTCCCTCTCTTCTCTCTTGGTCGGTTTATCTCAAGAAAATGGCTGAGGAAAAGTGATGCCAACATATGTAATTGAAGACTAAACAATAGCCTAGCTAAGTCCACTAGATGGCAAATTAGTAAAAAGGCCCAACTTATGTAATTTAGCTTATTTAATCTAATTTAATCATACAGAATCACATTTCAATTAAATATACCATAAATCCTAATTAGCATAAAACATTAATCCATTTCAGATTTGGCCGCCGATAAGGCCTCAAATCTGTAGTTTAAAGCATAAAACATGAACAGATAATTTAACAGTCAACATATAGATATGCATTTAGACTAGCATATTCAATCGATCAGTTCAGTATTTCAGTCAGTCAGTCAATTAACATGCTTAATCATGGATTAGCACTAATCAGTGGTGAGGGTTGTCACAGTAACAGTTATAATTTAAATGGATAAAAAAAAGGTCATATTTTTTACTTCCTATAAAAATAAACAATCAATCTCAATTGATATACAGATTCTTTTCAATCTACATAATTTTTTTGTTTGTTTGTGTTTTCATACAATCAGTATAGAAGGTTCATCAAAAATAAAGAAAGAAAAATCATTCACCACTCAAGAAGATGTAGCAATTTGTAGAGTTTGGTATTATATTACTGAAGACCTAATTGTTGAAAATTCACATGCTCATTTTTTGGGAAGAACTTTTTAAAATTATTGCTCGCTGTCGAATGATCACTCAAGAATACAAGTGTATGTCTCATCTCGATGGGGTGCAATCATGAAATGTTGCAACAAATTTCGTGGGTGTTTGGCGCAAGTCAAAAATCTACACCCAAGTGAGATATAGTAAAATTTCATCTTCATTTATTTGCTTATTTATTTATTTTTTGTCTCATATAAAAAATAACTAATTAATTAATTTAATATTTTATTGATATAGATGTTTCAAGCAAAGCTTTTATACCATTAAGATGAAAACAAACATTTGGCTTTTGAACGTTGTTAGCCAATCTTGCAAAACAATATCAGGTGGTAAGATGTAACTCCTACGAACACAGTGAAGTCAAGGATACATACACCACTTTCCCGTAATTCAAGCCCCGAATCCCTTATGGATAACTGCATTTCTCTTGAAGACGACAATAATCCAAGTGTTGGTAACAATCTAACAGCTGGTAATAATCTAATCGATGAGGGTAGTGTCTCTACAAGGGATAAAAAGCCTATAGGTAGGAAATCTACAAAATAATTGCTTCAAAAAAGTGAAACTATTCAAGCTAAAGTCCACAAATACAACAATTTGTTGGAGACATTTAACCAACACGTTGTTGAGAAGGACATGAAAAAAGCTAAAAGAGAAGAAAAAATGATTCAAGCATTGCAGGAGATGAAAAAATTGGAGATCAAAAAGGAAAAACGTTTGCAGGAGATGAGGGAACTTGAGATCAAAAAGGAAGAACGTTTGATAATGGCTATGGACATTTCTCATTTGGACTCTCAGACGAAAGCATATTACATAATGCACAAAAATAAAATTTTCGCCAAATGATCCGCACATGTTAGCAATCCAAATTACTATTTTCCCCTGCCTAATTTTGCAATGTCATTTATTTGTCATTTATTTTTTAATGTAATTTTGAGTATTTTTTATATTTCAATGTAATTTTATTTTTGCAATGTATTGTTGACTATTTTTTAGTATAATTTTAATTTTTCAATATTATTATGAACAAATAAATATATTATTGAAATGAAGGCAATAAAGTTGCAAAAGAAGACAATTTTATTAAAATAAAAAGACATTACATGATAGTAAAATAAAATTTAATCTAACTCTTCAGATCGGGACCACAAGTATTCAATTAGATCATTACGAATTGCATTATGAGTTTCAGTAGACCTCTTTGGTGATTCAACATAAATTCAATTCATCACACTCTTTATTTGGATCACGTGATCACGTGACACTTGACATAGGGTATTAGTGGTATCAGTTTCTAGTAGTGCTGTACTGCGTTCATTTTCTAGAATATTACACCCATCTTCAATGATCATATTGTGCAAAACAATGCACATTTTCATGATGTAGTACAGATCCCCATCACTCCAACCCCTCACCGGAACTTTAACAATATTAAAATGTGCTTGAAGCACTCCAAATGTCCTTTCGACATCCTTCTGACATGCCTCTTGCATCCTTGCAAATAGTTGTCTCTTTAAACCTTCAGGTTGAGATACTGTTTTCATAATCGTTGTCCAACGAGGATAGATATCATCAGTAAGATAATATCCCATGGTGTATGCGTGATTATGTTAATTCAAAACATAAAGGCGACCTATCAAGAACAGTAATATCATTCAGAGAGCTAAGCATGCCAAATCCATAAGTCGTAGAAAGCGATTGCCTCGAGTACAACTGTTGGTTTGTGATAGTGTCCAGTGTAAGCACCGGCCTCGGCGGTTGGACATCTATCCCAACATCAATGCATACAATCCAAACTCTCTAACATTTTAGGAAACTCACGTTACTCTCTTACTTGCAATAATCTGGCGACATCCGACTCATTTGGGGATCTTAAGTAAACACCTTCATAAATAGCAACAATCGTTCTGGTAAAGAAATTCAAGGTGGAAATTACAGTAGTTTCGCCGATTTTGATGTACTCATCTACAACAGCAGATACGCCATATTGTAGAATCCGAAGTGTAGCAGTCATCTTTTGTACACCGAATAATCCAAGAGCACCAGTGATATCATGGGTTTGGATGAAATACTCATTGACTTGTTGAATATCATGTAAGATACTAAGAAATAATGACCGCCTCATTTGAAAACGTCTTCGGAAGTATTCTTCTAGGTAGACAGAATTATCTGCAAAGTAATCTCTATAAATTTGTTAGTCGTCTTTGACCCTCTCACGATTAATGTATCAACGACCGCTTGTGGAATTGTGACAAACCTGACCTATGATTAGTGTTAATTCATGATTAAGCATGATAAGTAAATGATTAAGATGAAATTCTAAATTAATTATGTGAGTGTGTTGCTTTAAATGCATTCTTATCTGTTTGACATAGAAAGATCTGTTCATGTTTTGATTTCGATTTGTGAATTGAAAGTCTTATCGACGACCGATTCAGGAATTGACATGTGTTATATGCTAATTAAGATTTATAGAATTTTATGGTAGGTTTAATTAAAATTCGGTTCGGAGTGATTAAATTAGATCAAATTAATGTCATTTGATTAATTATGATTAATTACCACCAATAAGGCCATTTTTTACCCCACTAAGATGAACCTTACATCTCATTCTTTCTTATTTGATGCTTAAAACGTGAGAGAGAGAGAGAGAGAGAGAGAGAGAGAGAGTTGGAAGAAAAGTGAATTCAACAAGAGAGTTGCTTGAATTTAGAAGTAATTGAAGAGGATTTGGAAGATTGGGCTTCCACACTTGAAAATTCAAGACTTAAGGTAAGAATTCACATTCTTAATTGTGAATTTAAGTTGTTCATGCATGGTTCATGGAAAGAAATTGGAGACTAAGGTCAAGAAATAGCCTAAAGAGTGGAATTGAGAATCAACTCATGCATGCATGTCCATATCATGGGTTTTGGAGTTATTTTCATGAAATTCACACATGCATGTTCATATTTTAGTTGTGATTCAAGAATTCACTATGTTTTTTAGTTGAATATTGCACTTGATCATATTTTGAGAAGCTCAAGATCAAGAAACTTCATGCATGTTATGTTCTTGCATTGTTCATAAAGTTTACATTGAAATTTGGTACAATTGACACACTTTTGGGCATTAATTTTATGAAATGATCTTCAAAACATGTTGTGTTATAAGTTCTAAGTATTTTCCAGAGAATTGGCCCAAAAGAATGAGTTTTGGCATATTAAATCCATGGTTTGAGCTTTGGGAGCAAATCTGGAAAACCCAGAATTTGGCTTCCTCGCTCGAGTGAGGGATTCCACGCTCGAGCAACCACCTTTGTTTTCAGACTTTCGCTTGAGCGACGGAATGCTGGCTTAAGCATAAATTGCAAGCTCTCAGGATTTTTGCGTATGCAAAAGCACGCTCAAGCAACAAGACTTGCGCTCGAGTGAAGAACTGTGTCTCACGCTTGAGCAAGAATCGAGCGAGCATCGAGCGGAGATTTTCAGCAACCAGTACTTTTCACATTTTTGCAGATCACTCGAGTGAATGAGTCTACGCTCAAGCGACCAAGCACATTCTGCATTTTCACTCAAGCGAAGGAAGCTACGCTCGAGTGAGATCCCTGTTTTCAGCAAGTTTTGAAAAATATTTTTAAGTACCTTTTTGCATCATCATTTCATCCTAGGCATTCCTAAGCCATGTTTAAGGCATCATAATGAGGATAATGATTTAGAACCATACCAAAACAAGCAAGGGGCTAAGTTATTAATCCCAGGTGTGTAATTTAGTGTGTATTCATTCTGCAACTGTGTAGGTTTGGCACCCAAGGACGCTGATTAGCCTGCCTATAGCCCAGTAATCTATGAGTAACAATGTTGTAAAGCTATGTTCAATTATAATTACTTTCTAAACGATTGACTGCACTGTTTTTTGAAATGATATTGTTTACTGAAAGAATGCTTGTCCTATTTTATGAACTGTACTCGTGGCATCCATAGCAACTGACTATTACTGTTACTGTTACTGTTACAGAGATCTCTGTCAGTTCCTATCCTTGGAACTACTGTTACTATATTGATGGCCATCAACTGACTGTTTGGTCTATTTAGATCTATTGTACTGTTTTGCTATTGGATGTACCACGTATGACTGATATGACTTGAAATGTGAGTCACTGATTGAATAACTGATTTATTAATGCAAATGACTGTTTCAATTACTGAAAGGACATTTATTCTTAACCTCTTTACACATTTGTTATTCACTGGGTTTTAACTTACAGTTTATATATATATATATATATATATGTAGGTAACGAAGCACTGGACCAGAGCTAGAGACGCCGATTTAGACTCATGTTTTGTCAAGCCAACCATCGCGCCTTATGTCAAGGTTTCGAACCTACACGGGTCAAGGCTGTTTTGGGGTGTTTCAGATTCACCATTTTGTCTCTGTTAATGTAAAGAATGTTTAAGACTTCGGGTCCCTAACCTGTATGCTACTTTGTTTGTGTATTTTTGGTATATGGCTATAAATGTGGTTTTGTCCATGAAAGTCTTTTTCCATTCAGGTTTTCACAACTCATTGGACATCTTTTTATTACTGATTGGCTTTCGCTAGCCCCTTTATACTGTATTATTGTCATTAATGTTAAGCAGGCCTTTGGTAATCATGAATTACTGGCCGGTTACGATACTAAACCCTTAGGGGCGGGTTTGGGTCGTGAAAGGAATCAACATGTCTGCTTGTTTGGTTTAGGGTTAATGCTTGTATTCTTTGTTCACTGTTTAACAGTTACATCATCAGATGATGAAGATTCATCAAAATCTCCATTAAAGAAGGCTTTAGTGAAATTGTTCATGACGGGTAGGTGAATATGAAAATTATAGAAAATCTTATGGGTGGGTACAGAGAGTTTAGAAGATGAAAAAATTATGGGTAGATGAATGTGAAAATTGTAGAAAATCTTATACTATAATTTATAGAGAAAATTATGGGTGGGTGAATGATGGGTAGGTGTTGGTCGGCAGCTGTTAATAAGTGAATGATTGATGAATAATGAATGGTTGTTGGATATGTGGTTGTTGGTGAATGAATACTGAGTGAATGATGGATGATTGTTGGTGGGTGATTGTTGGTGAATGAATACTAGGTGAATAATAGGTTGTTGGTGAGTAGTTGGAGATTGTTTATTTTTTAATATAGTTAATGATTTTTTATTATTTTTTTAGTGATATATTTTTTGGTGGGGTGAATTATATTTAATTTTTTTTAGAGATTTTTAATTTTTTATATTTGTCTAGTCCGGGTATAATGTAAATATATAATTTTTTTACAAACAATTGAAAAAAAGGTTACAAAAGACAAAAAATAAACATAAAAAAAAAATCACTAAAAAATCTATATCCAAACAACACTTACAAACTTAGAAGGAAAGTTAGTTGAGATTTGTCAAAATAACATGTGACAATTGGAGCACGAATTGCTAGAATTTAACAAAATAATACTATTTATTAATAAATTATAACAATAACAATGCTATTTTGACAAATTCCATTAGAGATATTACCGAAATGAGCTCAAATAAGTCAGCTTATTTTGCAACTGAACAAGTGGCTCTATAAAGCCAACGGGCACAAATTACAGGTTAAAAATACTGTTGTGTGTTACGCGCCGCAGAGCAACTGTTGTTCGCTAATGGGGTGCCGTTTTGAACCAACCCAAAGCATTATTTTTACAAACATTCAAAGACTTGGCTGGTTGCATTCAAAGCATTATTAAATTTTATTTGCATTAAGTGGGATCATGACATAATTGAATCAAAAAATATTAAAGATTTCAAAGAAATTACTATAAAAAATTTACACAACACTTATAATGCTCTATTTGATTTATTAAAATGAGAGGGAATATAATGAAATGGTAATTATTTATGCTTTCTTATGGAATGACATTTTCATTAAAATAGTGTAAAGATAATTTCATTTATAATGCATTAGTCATTATTTTTTTAGTCGAATCAAACACGAGAATGATTATTTTGATGGAATGATCATTCCATTTCACTTCATTGTAATGAATCAAACGCTAGTGAAACTTATATGGTGCGAGTATTTTTTGATTATTATTATTATTATTATTATTATTATTTTTTTTTTTTGAGATCTTCAACATTACTCATTTAAATGTCTTTATGTAGTTGGAAAAACAAAATTTAGGTCAATATAATATTTTTCTAATAATAAAAATAAATAAATAATAAGGTTTAGGTGTTAAAAATTTAGAAATGAAATTGAGTTTAAATTAATAATTTTTATGAGTAATTTCATCTATATTTTTAGTAAAAGAAATGTTAGCCACGAGCCATTGGGCCGTGATTAATGTTGATATATGTGTAAATTTATTGAAATGGATTTGGTTTTTCTCAAATTGGTCATTAAATTTGAAAGAGCATTTGAGCTTAGTGAGCTCATTTTGAAGCTGATCTTGATTATTCGAACTGTTCATTTTTGTAGAACTCGTTAAATATAACATTCATGTAAAAAATAAGATAATCGAATATCAGTAGTTATATGTTTAAATCATATTTGCTTTAAAAAAAAATGGGACAAATATAAATTCAAGAATA